GTTATTGTTGTTTATTGGGATGCCTTGCCTTTACAATGTTCGAATTGCAGCCACAGCATCCTGTTTTTGGTTTGTTGCAATTTATCTCATTGTGTTGCATGGACGTAATCTTCGATATATTTGTACTCCTCCTGTGTGCGTATATTTGGACTTTTTTGTTTACATACGAGTACATACATATATACAATATTTGTATATTTTTCCATTCTAGAATGTTTTACAATTTTACTAGGAGAACCGCCTTTGCAATCTGTATGCACTCGTATTATTCTCAAATGCGTTTTTCCGATTAAAGCACAAATTCCTTTATTGCTGCAGCAGTTTTTGCCTGCTCTTAGGGGCCATAGATACAATATATATCTTCTCATTGCTACTGAAAATATATATATATATCTGTACATATTTATATAGAAAACGAAGTAATGGAATGATGCAGTCATTCTTGTAATGTACAATTTTTGTGCTTATTGCTTTGCTGAAGAATTGAAGTTATTTAATAATCGTAAACTTTGTGATGGTGCATAAAAGGATTTATGACTTTTCCTTTGTTAGAACAACAACAATAATAAGTTTTATTAGACTTGGTTTATTTCTCGTTTCGGTTTTGGACTTTTTAATAAATTGATATGATGAGAGCTGATTTAAGGCTATCGTTTTGATAAAAAAAAATTGGAATTTCTATTTTAATGAAAGTTTATTATTATGTGTGATAGTGATTACTTATCATATCTTTTATAGCTTAAAGAAAATCACTTGGGAATATCTAACTAATTACACTAAAAATCTGCAACCTAAAAAGAGTAGAGATTATGCATGAGGTTCTTTTAATATTGTTTATACGCAAACTTTGAAATTTTTCCAAAAAAAATCTGATAATATGCATATAAACAAAGAATTCGATGTATGGAAGAGTTTTAACTATCCGCATATCCATTTCCTAGGCATTGTGTTTCAACGACAGCTGGGGTATCACAGCTATTTTGAGCAAGTTTTTCTACTACAGTATATATCAATCAAAATTTATGCTTGAGATATCGTGACTTTCATAAAAAAATACTTACAACAAATAACATATTATCTTAACGGAGTAAAGAAAGTTGCTCTAAATAACCGATTTTTCCACAATTATCTTCAAATCAATTCGCCAAGGACACTTTTATTGTCCATATGGGGCCGTTGTTTTGCGATTTCCTCTTTCCAATACACCAGTGAAGTTTCAATCGTTATCACATACCGAATGAAAATGTCTTTTTTATCTCGCTTCAACAACACTAAACATCTCTCAGAATCATCGACACGTTGTTGTTTTTGGCAGCACCCACCTAGAAAGAGTTTTCTTATAGACATATATTCATGTAAATTATGGCCATCACATTTCTCTGAAATTTTTAAGAAATCAGCTATCTACTTTATCTTCACTTCACGATTTGCCAAAACGAATTTGTTGGCATTTTTAAGGTTTTCCGAAGTCGCGACCTCTTTTAGGTAAGCGTTGAGTTCAGCATCACCGGTATTCTATTCATCTCTATTGTACTGTCACGTGTCCAAGACTTTAATAAAAGTCACTTCACATGAGAGATATGGAATTTCTATATACAGCTAAATCCTACACATCTGCATTTCTAATGTTATTTATTTTAAATAGTAGATTATATCCACAGAGATTACTATCGGTTCACAAATCTCAAAAATATGTTATTGAGAAATAGATTTCAAGGCAACAATGCAATCATATCCCAAGTCATCTATGGATTTAATCATCAGTGACTACTAATTTTTCGTCAATTTCTAAAAAAAACCGCAAGCCGGATGAGATAAGCTCTTACTTCAGTAATGTTATCATATTTCAAGTATTAGGTAGATTTAATCCTACTCGTATGTCTCTAAAATCTGCTCCAATCTGCAATCAATGAAAGAAATAATAGAAAGATTTTGGATTGACATAAAATTGTGTTAGAGTTGAGTATACCTACATAAATATATTGAAATAACATATAAAAAAATGTAATAATAAATTTTTTAGTATGAAATCTTATCTTCCTAACGCCATCTAGCGCACACGATCGGACTTACACAACGTGTGAAACAAATAAATAAAGCCATCTATTAGGAAAAAAATGGACTTCTTTGTACTACATCGTATATGTTACTGATGGAACTCTTATACAATTTCTTGAATGAATTCACAGCTATTATTCACAAAAGTCGATACTTTGCCTAACCCCGCTCTAACAAAACTTAAGTCTATCTTACGATGCACAGGAAGATATACTGATCTATGGTCCGTCATCAGTTAAAATATAAATAAATGATAATAATTCTAGTATAGTTAAAGTTTCGTGTGGGGCAGGGATAAGCCCCCCAGCCACAAAAGAGTAAAAGTGCGCAATAGCACTTACTCAAACCACCACCACAACAACAACACAGCTGTTATATATTTCAATTTTTTAAATTTTGTAATTGAATTTTCTATATTTTATTATAATAATTTTTATAGTTTAATAACAGTTTTTGAATTGTTTTTAAAACAAAAAATTTAATTAAAAATTTAACACCTTTTGTTACCAAAAATTCATTATAATACCATAGGGAAAAATTTGTTCAAATTTCGTCGATTCCCCTCTTAAAATCTTAAGCCCATTTTATATATTACTTTTAATAGTCGTGTATGTACATTAAATCGGTGACCCATTTTTTTGCCATTACATTTTTCTGAATGGTATTGTTGTCCTTTATATGGAATATCCATTGAAATCACAACAAAAGGAAAAATAATAAAATGAATAAAATTGTTTTAAAATGCTTTTGTTTTAATATTTTTAACGAGATTGCGACAATTCCATAAAAACACGTATTGAAAAACGTCGACAAATTAATACAACAAAATCGTTAAACCTCGAAACTGTGTCATATGCCCTTTTCACTTTTCTGGGATTGATTTAACTTGGAAAATGCTTTTGCCATTTTTTTTAACATATTCTAGGATTAAAAAAGCACAGGCAATGTTAATACCAAAAACATGTACAACAGATCCATTGGTGAATTGGGATCCATGCTTTCAATATTCAATGGTACACATTTTTGTAATTGCAATTAATTATTTCTATTATTTATATATTTATATAAACATTTTTAATTTTTAATAAACAGGTTCTATGAATTCAAATAAAAATTTAATAATACAAGATTAAATCTTCTCACATTTAAAAAGGATTGGTTTTGTTCTGTATTTCACTTTCGTGCAGTTTACTTCAATTACTCGCGTCTCTCAGGTTACTTTCCATTCTCCATTATTATTATTTTATCTGAAGTAAGTGATTCTATTATTGTATGCAAATCTTTTCATATTAAATCCTATTATTACCACTTATTTTTAAAATTTTTTTTTGTTTTTACTTTAAGTTTACTGTAAGTTAATCCGACAACTTTACCTAAGGAGCACATAGTGCTTAAGTGGAAGATTGCATGCCATTCTACTGCTTTAAGGAATTAGAATCCTTAAAATTTAATACGCGCAAAAGGTGATTGCAGGTTATCAATGGATAATTTTTATATGTACACATAGGAATGCAATATTCATTGAAATATTCTGAATAATAAAACGAAATCTTTAAATAGTGAATATAAGCTTTTTCATTCATGGATGTCACGAAGATTTTATTGAATTTTATCAAAAACTATCTTTAAGTGATAATTGAAGAAAATTGGGAATGGAATACTCAATACGAACGTTTTAAACAATTTAAGTTACTACTGAATGTTAATATAAAGTATTTAATAATTGTTAAAAATTAGTTATAACAATAATTTATAATTACTTAAATGAATTTAAAATCATGTTAATTTTACTTGAAATTTTACTTAAAATTAACATGATTCGGACTTAAAAATTAAAAGGCTTTTCAGTCTTATTTATTTTCAAATTTTATAGCAGACATTATACTATTAGAATAGTCATTGAAAGTCTAAACGTTGGAAAACCCTAACAATTGAATCAATAACGTTCTGTCTATTTTAAATTAAGATCTTTGATCCTCATAATATATTTAGATTGGAGTAGTGACTTTGTGTGCCAAAGCCCACTTGAGCACAACGGCCGCAGATTCCTTTCCCATATCCTTCTACTTTCCTTCCAAAAGATCAGTTCTTAAGAACGGTTTTTCCGTACAGTATGATTTCATAATATTTTAAAAATACATCCCTTTCAGACATAAAGGGATATAACATTAAATATTTATCTATAGCGAGCTTTCTACAAAAATACAAAATTCATTTTTTCTTTATTTTAATCATTATTGTTAAAGTCTCAGATGTCTGGGAGAGAAACGGGTTACAGATTTGAACTCAATACGTTACATGCTAAAACTTTAAGCCTATAATCAATACTAAAACAGATCAAAAAATTAGTTAAGTCAGTTCAAATGTTGTATAAATTTTTACAAAAAATAGATACTCAAATATATACTCAGTTAAAAAAATAGGTTTTGTAGGCAATGGTGCCATTTGATCTTTGTTTTTATTTAAAATAAAATGTTTCTTTACATGTTCATAAACGTGTTAAATATATTAAATATATAACACTAACATATTATAGCTTTTATATTGTTGTTAAATACTTGAAATCAGTAAAAAGTATATTTGATTAATATATACGTATTATTTTAGCTATATATTACTTTTTGTTATAATTTTCAATAACACAAAATTTCTATATAGTTTTTTTTATCATTTCTGCAATTTTTTTTCTTTTCAGTGATGGATTTATGTTTTTTTGATAATTGTTGAAACAAGTGCTAATCGACAACACAAGTAACAAGTTAAAACCATTTTAATACATAATTTTATCTATTAATAGTTTTCTTAAACATAGCATTTATATGCATAATATATATGTAATATGATATTGATAGTTTTATATGATATAAAAAGTTTTTATAATGAAATTATAAAATATATATTTTTTTAACATATAATTATTCTTTAATTTAATGACATTTATAGATTTACTATAAACATGACTTCTTCCGTACTCATTTTTATTAAATATAGATTAACAGCTCAACGAAAAAGAGTATATTCCTTAATATGATGTATATTTTGAATATAAATTAAATTAATGTATTAAAATGAAAGCATCCTTTTAATAACTATAAATAAAATAAAAATATTATTTATTATTTTTTGAAGGCAAATACTGAGCATATTAGGTACCTGTTGTATATGAATAAATGTGTATTAATTATTTTTAAGTTTTAAAGTTTTAAGGATTATTTGCGCGCACAGATCGGGCTGCGTTATATTCTTTTATTTGACTTTTATCCGCATTGCACTTAGGACACGCTCCAAAATCCATTAACCATTGAACCTAAAAAATTAATAAATAAAAGATTTATTAATATATTATAACGTTTACATAGAAAAAAACTAAAGTAACTATACATGGATATATGTAATAACAAAGTAAATAAAAACAAATACTTATAAGAAACCATTTTACTTTAAATATATATTGGAATAAGTATTAGAGTAATAAAAATAATTATATATTATATATATTACCTCATATTTTTCTCTGAAGCATAACTCACAATATTTAACAGTTTGTATCGCAATTTAGAATTCATATCGATAAACGTTCCCAATCTCATTAAAGATACATAATTTCAATTTACTATTTCAGTTTTTAAACTATTTTGTCATTAAAATAAACTAAATTGTATTGTAAGACGGCGTCTCATTTGATAAAGCACCTTCTTTCTATGGTAAGAAATTTTGTATTTGTATCGCCACACGCTTCTAACCATTTTTTAACAAGTTAGTTAATATTCCCAGGAATAATAAACATCTTTTACATGTAGTAAGAGCTGATCTGTACCAAGTGAGGGCTGTAGATTGATAATTTGTTACTGGACCACATCCATTCCTAATGTGTAACTCAACTGCAGTTACTACTCTTTTTGACATCGTTTATCTGATTTTTTATCCAACTTAAGTAACAAAATTTTTTTTACCTCCATTTGGGCAAATTTCAATACTCCACCCATATTCTTTTTTCTCTTACATTATCTACTATCTATCCCGTCTAACCGCTTCAAGGATACAGTTTTCTGTCCCAAGTACCATATATGCCTTGTAATCAATTCTAATTTTTACTCTCATCGATCCCATATTGGTTACAACAACAATAATGTGTCATTAAAAAAGCGAACCACAATTTTTTTACAATATATATTTAGTAAAATCTAATAGAGTTTGAGTGTCTGATCTCATCTTTCATTAATTGTTTAAGTCAAATTAAAATAGAATAGATTACAATCCGAATGTTGAACATAGAGAATCAGAAGGTATTATATTCACATCCCATTTTTAATTTTATAGCTGATACAAATTAGAAACTGAGACTACCAACGACTACCCATCCACTTTCCCACCTAAGTAATTAGAAACTAATAAAACCCCTAACCACTACCCATCCACTTTCCCACCCATGTAATCGAATCGTCTTGTATATCCTGTCATGTTATCTGCTTACAGGTCCCAGCAGATTACAATTATGACAACAACAACAGGAACTGATAAGAACCAATATCTAAATCTGAACCGACTTAAATGAAATGCAATAAAACTATTAAAAAAATGTTGGTTGATTTTTGAGTGATTATTATGAACACCCAAATAAGATGATCAAATTTGTATAAAAAATAAAAAATATAAAAGAGATAAAAAAGATAGAAATCATTTCTGATAACCCAACGAATATTTATAGATATTCGTTTATTTAAAACGAATATTTATAGAAATCTAATAAACCTTATATACTAATTTTTATTTGCTTAGATTTACTTAGACAAGCAGAGAAGCAAATTGAAATGCACACAAATATATGGATCAACAGTTATTTTTAGCTCAATATTTCAAAAGCGGCCGACTTTACGTCCCAGAGCCACTCGTTAAATTCGACGACCAAATTCAATCTCTACACACAAAAGGGACTACAAAAGCTGAACGGTCAGATCTACGTCCCGAACTACTCATCGCCAACGCCGACAAATACCATTCAACACCTCCCAACATCTCCCAAAGGAACATCACAAGCAGGTCCCAGCGAGTTACAACAGAAGAGGATCCTTGCCGGCAACAACAACATATATTCTAAACTAAATTTTACAGTTTGACAGAACTAAATGCAAACATTCGCCACAAATATCTACAACATGTGTAGAAAAATAAATTACGTTAATTATATATTTTTTTCACGCATAAATACTTCATACGTCACATTTAATATGTAGTACCGCTTTTTGAAAAACGCTTTGTGTAATTTATTTAAGCTATAAAGTACATATAAAATAAATAGGACCACAGCTGAGACCTGTCGAACTTCGGAGCAATTAACTCGGTTACAAATAAATGTCCAAAAAGAAAAAGAGAGCTGCGCAAATTATAGTAAGAAGCGCAACTGCGTCGAAATTTGTTGTTGGGCAAACAAACACAACAAAGAAATTTTGAAACAAATTAGAACATATTAATATCTATATGTAGTTAATCATATTTTACTTACATTTCTATGCTTTGGACACAGCATTTGAATTCTACCATACGTGGTAGTACCACAATTTAAGCACACCAGATGCACTGATGGACGATCGCAAACACACGACTCCACTTTAAAAACTTTTTTAAGAAATGAATCAGATTCCTTTTCAACGTCCTCCATATTGACCGCGGGCGGCTTTTTAGCCGAACGCTTATTTTTTTTGGATTTAAACGGACCAGCGAGGTTAGGACGAAACATTTTACTTCCTTACAAATTTTATAAGCGTATAATAAGCGTACTTGATTCACTTTGGTTCTTCAAATTCCAATAAAGCATAGAATTATCTAAAAACTAACGGTAGACATCAGTGTTGTGCAGCGTTCAAAAAAATGAAAAAGATTATTTCATTATTTGTTTGAGAATTGCTATGATATATATTTTATTTATTTAGATAACTGAATTTTATTTTGTTTTATTTTGTAATAATATTCATCTAATTAATTCAATGAATACATGATTAAATATATATTTTATTTAATATAAATAATAATTATGTTGTAGTTGTGTTGATCACAAATTATTGCACTTTTTTTTTAAATCTATTCCTTGTTACATGCAGTGTAAACTTACTATCATATGTTTCTGTTCTCTTCAAGGTTTGAAAGTTATAATTTTTTTTAGAAAATGTTCTTTGAAGTTTATGGAAACCCTAATTTTTGTCAGAATTGTAAACTTTTTCTTTAGTCTTTATTTTTTCTTACATTAATTCGTTATTATCTTTTTGCATTAAGCTACAAAAGATCATGAACAACAGTGAAATATTCCATAGAATCAGTCATAATACTGAATTTTGTAAATACGATACAGTCAACTAAATTTAAACATAAAATAAACATTATTAATGAAGCAACTGCTGATCAATGTTATTAATATGTCTTTATTAATATTTGTTAGTCAAACGTGTCATGAAAACGCCTTTAGGTTAACGTCGAAATATTTAAATAAATAAAAATAAAATAACAAATGTTTAAGCTTTATTTTTAACATAAGTAACTAATTAGCGCAATATAACACAATAATAATCCTGCTCCTGATAATCTGATTGTATAATCCTGATAGTTCTTTAACAGTATGTTTACATTATTGCAATTAACTCGAAAAATGTGCATTAATAAGTACATTATTTATTCAAATTCCATTCATACCAATATACATATGTGCCAATGAGGTTTAATAATTGAAAGTGTAAATACAATATTAATAAGCATTGTTAATTGAAATTAAGCATTTTAAAAAAAAAAAAAAATAACGTTTAATGCAGAATTGTAATTATAAAAGAATTTAAAAATGATACTGACGTCAACAGTATTTTTCCAGCGTTGTGATGTAATTGCTTTAACTAAGACACTTCGTTTAAATTGCACAAACATTTGATAATCATAAACTACGTTTACGCGAGTCTTAAAATCACTTTTAAAACAAATTTTAAAATTAATTTTTAGAGCGTTTACGCACAAGAATTAAAAGCACTTTTAAGGTAAATGTCAATCAGTCAGCTGTTAAGCGATAAACAAAAATGTTGATTTTAAACATTTTAAAAATGGATAGAGTAAACATACAAAATGTTTTATTTTTATAGCAAAAGAAAGACCTTAAAATCAATTTTAAGAGCATTAAAACAACGGGACATTATAAGGATATTAAACGAATTTAAAAGAATGCCAAGAAATTACAATTAATAATTTATCTATCAATATTATATTCAGACCATCGCATTTTTGGGTTATCTCGGTTAACTTATTGAATTTAATCATTTGTGCTATATAAAACTAATGCAAATACGTCAGATTAAAGACTAACTAATCTTTTAAATCGATCGGCTTAATAAGTGTTGTCTCGAAAAGGTCTGTTACGACATATTATGGGTACAAGTTTTGATAAAAGCTAAAAAAAAATAAATTGAGAATTAAGAAACAATTTAAAAAAAAAATAACTCTACAAACAAATATTCGAAAGCTTTACACATATTTTTCATATATGCTTTAAGAAGTTTAACTTTAAACAAACGGAAAATAGAGCGGCAAATCACATCAATTGGTAAATTTGGTTTCTCCTTTTTCCGCTTTTTCACTAAGCTCTAAAAGTTGAAGTGTAAACATTTAAATTGTTCTTCGCCGAAAATTATTGACACATGTAAAATAAGTTTACATCGTAACATGTTTTAATAATGTTTATTTCTATGCAATATTTTTTTTCAAATATGGCAACATCTGATTTTCATATACTCATTAAATCCGTTAATTATTGCCGGCTTTGTATTTGCATCTTTCTTAGAAAAAAAACGGTTTTCATATCAAGAAAATTAAAACACATTCTCTTTTTAATTACTGTTTTTATATCGATAAGGTCAATAATATCGCAATAATATGAAAGGCAAAGGAAAGGCCAGGGGTAATATTATAGAATTCTTTAGTAATTATTTTATAAAATGTTTTAAATATTTAAAGTGGTGGAAAAATTTGACGACGGGCCTTCAACAAGCGCCGCAGCTCAACAACAGTCCAGAAGACCAACTGATGTAAATAAGTTACCTACACGCCAATACTTGGATCAAACTGTCGCACCTGTTTTATTGAAGGGTTTGCAGACTGTTTCACGTGTACGTCCAGCAGATCCAATTGGGTTTTTGGCTGATTTTTTGGTAAAAAATCGACCTCCAGCTAAGGAATCCTCTGAAGCTAAATAAAGCTGAGTAATTGCAATAAATAATGGTTAAAATATTGTATATTACATATAATAAAGCTTATCTTTTGAACATTTAAAATAAATATGCTTTTATTTAAAGCTTAATTTGAAAGATTGAAATAGATAATAATTAATATTTTTTACCTCATTTATGCTAATAACTCCCACTTTACTTTTTAAATGCAAAACTCTCCATTATTAGCGACGGAATATTAGAGAAATTAAAACTATTTACTAAAAAGATAGAGATATTTTAACGCATCACTAAGTAAAATAATTATAAAATCCTTGATTTTTAAATAAATTGCGTATTAATTAGAATAAATTATTCAAAATAGAAACTAGATATTAAATAGTCTATAAGCAGAAGAGATAATTATATACCGCGAACTATAAAATCTATTGTACTATATGCTGAAGATTTCTCTTCTGTCAATAATTCACCAATATAGTTGGGTATTCCATTTGTTGAAGATATTGCCACGTAATCTTCCTATATTACAGATTACAAATCTAGACTTTTATACATAATTTATACTGTTCTTATCATAGTATGTAATCAATTCAACTAGACTTTCTTTCCATGTTGATATCCGCAAGTTTGTTTAAATTCAATGCAGATCGATCAATATTATGTTTGGTCAAAATATTTTAAGAATTTTTAGAAGAAATCTTGGGATAAGTATTCACAGTTTAATTGGCATTATTACAACTATGAGTTACGTTTCACATTCATAAAGCAATACTGACAGTAAACTAACTGGAAAAATCAATTTTCATTAACTTTATTTCTTATTAAAAATAACCTTATAATTTTCCAAGTTTTATTTTAACATTCTTGAAAGAACTTAATTATATAACACTTCGTTAGATCTTTCAAAGATTATATCATACAATTTAAATTAAATTTTTTTAGGTGCTGCGTTATCTCCTCTATATTTTCCGCTTACATTCAAGATAAGTACCGGGGTTTAATGAGTTTTAATATATTTATAAATGCAGATTTTACTACAGCATCAATAACCATCAAAGTATTCAAATAAGTTATTCTAGATCAGTGATATATATCTTCCCCGTAGTATAGACAGTTACCACGAATAGCGAGTCCTACGTGTTTCAGTTCATACCACGATATAACATATATACATATATTTTTTTTATACGTTTTATATAATTGACACTTGGAAAAATAAAAGAATTAACGGACACCCTTGATTCCAACCAGACATTGTAACAAAACAGCTTTAACATTACTCTATCACAGAATTCTAGATCTAAAATCATTATAATTTTCTCTTACTATTGTTGTTGTTATAGTCCACAGAGATTTGTTTATGTTGTCTTGTTTAGAAGTATTAAACACGGTACCTTTCTGTTAATATTTGGACTCGTATTTCAAAAGTTTTTAATTCAAGAATTTTTTTATAATCCAATGTGAGTATACACATCGGCGATTGCATCGTATAAGACCAAGACGAAATAGAGATAATTCAAGCAATAATTTTCATAAATATTTTCATATTTAAAAAAAAATCATCAAACCGTAATACATTTTGTCATACAACTTTTATTTAGAAACTTTAATCACAACACATTAGTGCCAATTTTTTATCTGTTTTGACTAAGAGGTGATCGGTAAATTTACTCATTTCTTTCATATGTTATTTCACTGTTATTACACAGTCGATTTTAAAGAAAATATCTGAGATTTTTAATAATTAATTAGACTATTTGATTCTGATCTGTTTCTCTCTCTCTGATTCTGATATCTTTCTCTGTCTCTCTCTATCTCCCTCTGATTCTAATATCTTTCTTTCTCTCATTCTTTCGCTCTCTGATTCTGATATCTTTCTTTCTCTCTCTCTCTCTCTCTCCGATTCTGATATATATCTCTCTTGCTCCCTCTGATCTTTTATTGAACTATCTCTAGACTCCCTGCTCTTTGTGTATTTAAAAGATTCTTTGGTATTAAATCATTATCTATTTATCTAATTATCTATTTATTTTTCTTTCGCTTTTTTTCGAAGTATTCCTCTTTTCCATCTTGTATAGCTCCTTCAGTATATTTGTCAAGATCACTATATAGTATTAACTTGAAGTTGATTTTTTTTGCTTAATATTTTTAATAGTGTTTATATTGTCTACCTATATGGTTAGCTCTTTCATCTTTAAAAATCTAAATATAAATTGACTTAAAGTTCCTATTTTATTTTGAGCGTTTATCCATACTTTCTATTATAGCGGTTATAATATATATCTATATTTGCTATATTCTGTCAGTTTCGTTTATTAGTAGAAGTAGATCGTATTGTATTTGCCTAATATGTATTAAGCCCTTAACAGAAGCAATGCTTTTAATTAAGAATAGCCAGTGAACTACAAAAAATTACCATATATACTGAAAAAAATAGGTCTAATAGGTTTTACTATATAATTTGCTAGTGCATCACTGTTCTAAAACTGCTACATCTAAAACCTTATGATTTCAAGTCAATTCCATACCAACAAATTCCCACAAATTAAAAGTGTTGCTAACTTACATCAAAATTTTAACAATAGTAAAGTAAATGTTTTTCTTTTCTTATCTTCCAATCATACTTTCTTTATTATTGAAAGTGCTCTATTATTAATTAATTATTAATTAAAATATTGGGCATCCCAACCCTTGTTTATATCTATAGATTGGCTTTATGTCTCACACAAAATCGGTCGCACACCCGAAACCGTCAACAACTTGCAAACAGGGACTAGTAACCAGTGTAATAACGAATATGGTTTTATAAGTTTTGTTTTGACGATGATTTTGAGTTTTCCGACCAGAAGACGATGATTTGATCCAATATTTGAGACTTGTTTTTTTTGTAACACTAACATATTAATAATACATAAGAGGTCAATTTAATTTATTTAAAATTAATTTATTTAATAAATTCATTGTCTTTAAACAATTATGAAGAACAGTAAGTTTGAAAATGAACGCATTGGTTTGATTCTCAATTGATATTTCAAGGGCTTCTTCTATAGATTGGCTTTATGTCTCACACAAAATCGGTCGCACACCCGAAACCGTCAACAACTTGCAAACAGGGACTAGTAACCAGTGTAATAACGAATATGGTTTTATAAGTTTTGTTTTGACGATGATTTTGAGTTTTCCGACCAGAAGACGATGATTTGATCCAATATTTGAGACTTGTTTTTTTTGTAACACTAACATATTAATAATACATAAGAGGTCAATTTAATTTATTTAAAATTAATTTATTTAATAAAATCATTGTCTTTAAACAATTATGAAGAACAGTAAGTTTGAAAATGAACGCATTGGTTTGATTCTCAATTGATATTTCAAGGGCTTCTTCTACTTCTTGCTCACGCAATTTATTCTTATGTTCGGTATCAAGAAGAATTCATTTGGCTGTACGATCAAATCAGGACTGTACGGCGAATGAGCCATTAATTCGATTTTCTGAATGTTCAAATAGTCGGTTGTTAGACGAGATGTGTGAGCACTCGCATTGTTTTGATGGACAATGATCCGACGGCGCTTGTTTGTTTTCTGTATTTCACTGAAGACTTGCAGTAAATAAATGGTTGTGTACCATTCGAACTCTTTTACGTTCCTGTAATGGTATAGTAGCCACATGACCAGTTTTCCCGACAAAACGAGCGACCATTTCTTTCGAAGCACTGTGAGCGCGAACAACTATTGTTGTTCGGTTTGACCATAAAGTCGGCTGCCGTTTGCGTTCCGGCTCATACACATATATCCATAATTCGTCACCTATTATGATCTTATATACGTCTTTTATAGCATATTTTCTCTATGAGTACCCGGCATCGGCGTGCAGATGATATAAGTTCTTAGGAAAATACTTTCTTGATAGTTCTGTTCCTCGGTGAAGACGAAAAATCTATTACATTATCCAAATTCGGCAGGATTTATTTATTCTTAACTTTTCTATACTAGGGTTCTTGCTAGACACCGTTATTGTACTTCCTGAGCATTTATGTGCACAAATCGAAAAGAGCATCTTTTTGAGATTTCGTCAAATCATAGGGGATCCAACGAGAACAAACGTTGGCCTTTCTCACTTCTAAATAATCGTGCAATCTCACAGTATGTCATATGACGATCTTTTACTATCAGTTTTTCCACAGCATCAATGTTTTCTGGCACAACCGATGTTAACTGATTTTGGTCGACCTTCACAAATTTTCTCAGTAAACGAACTCCGGCGACGATTAAAATCATTGTACCAGCGTTTCACAGTGGCAAAGGATAGAACTTCATCGCCAAATGTGGAAGTAAATTCATCAATGCACTCTTGTCTTGATAATACAAGTCGAATATCGTAATAAATCATCGCACGAAAATTTTTTCGCGTTAATTTCATTTTTTCGCCAACAACTGGATATATATGAATAGTACAATATTAAAGCAAATAAGGTTAAAACCATAGCGCTAGATTCCAGAACTTGGATTATAACTCAATTGAATTTTCTTTCACTTTCCTAAATGTTATTTCATTTACATTCTGCTATATGATATAGCCTATGTCATAATTCTCTTAAAGCGACTCTTACTTACGTCGGCTTTTTTAATATAGTCAGAACCTCATGTCTGGATAAAACTTAACATATATATTTTATCTTACAGCTATAGTATCACATCGATATTTAAAAATAGAAGTTAAATATAATTACAGACGAAATACTCTATAGTATCCACCTAAGTCCTTATAAAATAAAAATGTTTAATGTAATTATTATGTTGATATATGTCATCAGAACCTCAAGTTAATTATAATCAAACCCCAAATTATTATATCTTATTTCATATTGGATAGTTGAAAATAAATATTTCTTAAATTATTAAAAAAGTAAAAACTTTTATTTTGTTTTTGGCTTGAAATAATATATACATCCAAAACATTGAACTAACTTTTTGGATATTATTTGGATATTTAAAATTCGCTTACCTATGAAATTATTTCTCCTATGGTTGTGATTATTACTAACAGCGATGGGAGCTACGTTTCAAGGTAATTGCTTTACTCTTTTCTTGAAAGTTCTGGTAACAAAAAACCAAGTAAGTTTCTTCAAAGTCGATCGAAAAAAACGGGCCAAAATAATTGATATAATAGTGATTAACACTATATCTTGACTTAAGAATTGCTTTTGAAGTATCAGCGATTCTCTAATATATTTAAAAAAAAATTTTGTTTTTAATAATAAATTTTTTTCAATGTTACTTAATCGGTATTTTCCGATTTTAACACCACTCGGTAAAGACAAATGTTTTCGTTTAACATTAAAATTTTTAAACATTAAATTAAAACATTAAAAGTTCTTCTGACACATACAAATAAGTATATATATATATCTATGCAACTATAGTATCAAAATAAACTCCATTGAATAACACCAAATATTTGGATTATTTATTAAGAAACTCGGACATACATAAATACATTGTTTCACATACATCTAGAGATATTTAATTCATAAAAGTACAAAGATGCCTTCTGATAAAAACATTTTGCTTTTTAATATCTTAATATCAATTACATATAATATATATCATTTAGCAAATAACTAATCAGACTAGATTTTAACTAAACCTTACTATAATTTACAAATATTACAGTACAGTATAAACACAAAAAAACCTTAAATGCCACTAACAATATTTTAGATTTACAACATTTATATTTATTATAAATTTATTATAAATTTATTGATTAATTAAATTACAATTAAAACATTTATTTTTTTTTTTTTTGTTAATTATGTATTTTATTATTATTCGGAATATTCATTATGCGACTCCTTAAGTCCCTTTTTTTTTTTTTTTTTTTTTTTTTGTTGCACATAATTATATATGTATATATAACACATATGTAATACATTCTTTTTTGTTGTCTTCACAATTAATTACAATAATTCAAACATTTCAATACGTATAATTTTTAATATTAAATACTACTTTTATATATAAAATTTAGCTTTTGGACAGTACTAAGAATGAACAGAATGAAATTTGTACATACTAAAATATATATATATAAAGTTATAGTTAAAAAAATAAATTAATTAACCTAATAATTAAATTAATTATTCTATTATACGAAAAATAGTTTTTTTTTAAATATTTTTTGCTTTAAATAAGTAAGAGGCAGTATAACGAAAACTATAAATTTACATTGTTAGAATAAATCTCATTAGCATTAGAAAATATTTGTCATGTCGTTTATATATATTTTTTTTTTTCAGTAGTTGTTAACATAAAGAAAACAGCTTTGGAACTAAGCCTTTTAGAGAAGTTCCATATAATATGAAAAATTTTAAATAGTAACTGACATAATTATATACTAAAATGCAGTCTGTCTCTCTTCAAATCTCTGTAGGAGCAGTCGCAAAATTGTTTTAAGTGTAAGTAAAATGTTTAACACACAACACACAAGTAAACTAACAATTATATTTATGTAGAACTCCACGACGTAAATGATGAAAGGAGGGACTGCAAAACTATATGTATATAGTATATATGTAATGCATTTATTTATTTTGTCAGTATATATACTGCATTATAGTACTGGCGTTATGACGTCTTCAATGTCATATCTCTCTTGATAGTGACGCCCTGGCTAATACCGCGTTCTATTCATACTCCAATATATTTTTATGATAAAAGAGCAAGTATCTGTAAGGAAAAAGAACCATTAAAGAACAATAAAAATAGTTAATGTAAAAGTAAAATACGTACCCCTCACTATCTAATACTTGATTCAAAGTAGCCAATGTAATTGTATGATCATCGCACTTAACCCAAATATCCCTGTGATGCCGTACGTAAGCTGTATAATGACCACTACCAATTGTGCCATAATGATTCACAACTGCATATAATGAATAGCGAAAATCACCATAAACCTTGTCTTTCTCTGACATAAAAGGAGTCATATCGAATTCCACAGGAAATGATATAAAATTCGATATTTTCTTATCTATTTTCTTATCTTTCGAATACTTGAAGCGTTTCAAATGAAAACTAGCAACAACGGGTAACGTACGTAAACTGAGTTGCTTTGTTGATTCCTGATAGGAATTGCACGTGGAACAGTTAATTTTCTGCTTAGAACCTAAATGCTCGGCTCGTGTGTATCGTTCTAAGCATTCGATAAGTGTTTTCGGCGAGGCTCCGCCATGTTCGGCTTCACCCAAATCAAGTGATATATCCCAAAAGGGATCAATTGTCGTGGAAACACCCTTGCACACTTGACAGACTACATCACTTTGCAACATGCCAGTAAATATTTGATCAATAATGCAACTACATTGTGTTGGACAGTTGATTTTAGCGATTGGCGGTAATTTGTTGACACTCTCATTTTCATTCATTGCCTTAACACAGTGCCGATGCAATACATCGAGTGTTGTTATAAGGAATTCATGTGCGTCTTGTTGTTCATAGCCTGCTAAATGTTTAGCATGATTCCATATTAAATGTAACAAACGGTGCAGCTTTAGCGGAGATCGTACACCTGAATAAAATTCCTGTGTGGTATAAAAACATGATATATATTTATATGTATGTGTATATTAAAATTTTTACAAAAACTATATAGTATATATGTATAATCTACAAAATGGCATAGCTACTTACTCCTCTACATTTGATATACATTTGTAGACATAACCATTACATGGTTATGAAGTCGTGACAGTGACAAAGCTCCAGAAACTGGAGTTTTAAGCACAAAGAAAAAGTATACAGATAGACATAGATCAGCTTAGGTTGGAGTGACAATCTGTTTTCAGCTACCCCAACCTCTTTTGTAGTATGCCTCACGTAGGATTGAGATATACTAGTGTTGTACGTATTCGGTTTTACAAACTATACGGAAAATTCGATTAATGGGATAGTAAACGAAGTCTTCGGAGTTGAAAAAAAAATGGATTTTTTGTAAATTCGGAGTCTTCGAATATCCGGATTTGAAGTGAAATTTTTCGAAGACTTGGTGAGCAAAAGTTAAAGAATATGTTGTTGTCTGTAGGATTTTGTGTGTTCGGTATTTATTGCAGAAAATTATATATGTAATGTTTGTTTTATTTTACTTTATTTATTTGAAAACGGAAGCTTAATCTAGAGAATACTTAATCTGCAACACGGAGAAATCTTTTGCTGAGTAAATGAAATTTTAGCGTGATGATTACCTTATTGTACACCCATGTATTCTCTTGATGGAATGACACAGTTTTCTTCTTTAAATATTGATTTTTTGTTCAAAATGTATAGATTTTGTATAGGTTCAATGAATTGCAAAAAGATTATTGTTGTTGTTATTGTTTTTGTCATTCCAATACAAACGACATCAATTGAAGAGTTGTATGTTCTGTAGTTACTTGAGCTGCTACTGTTAATAATATTCGTCTTGCTTCCCAAAAAATTTCAATTACCTACAATATATATGCTTAAAGAATATTTTAAATTTTATTAAATTTTCCCTCTGGTTTTAAACCGTAAAGTTTTTTAGAGTAACACAATACACCAGTAGGACTAAGTGTTTCCTTAGAATCTTCATTATAAAGTAAGTATAATTGATATGAATTATAACGAGTGCAAAATTTTGGCCGACTCAATAATCTTCACACACTTTGGAATTGATGTCCATTTACTAAGAAGTATATTCCAAACCCTCGAATTATTTATAAAAAGTTCCAGTCTCGTTACAGTCTTAGAGACGTTGTATCGAATATAGATTTTACAAATAATATTACCATTAAAATTGCTGTTAAAATATATATAAGTTATATATCCATAGTGTAACATAAATATGACCGTTCAAAACAATACGTTAATCCATACGGTAATCCATGTGAATTTAATTGATTTAATACGTAGGAATTATTCATACACACCCAATATGTACAGCACAAATAAATTTCTGGCATATACGCATTATCAAATCTATATTGCAGCCGATAACCTGTTCCCAATTCTTCTCCAAAACTGATTATACAAAAATTTTTATTAATTATGCCATATGATTTCACCCAATAGACCAATCAGAACAAAATCGTGACTTTTTTGATTTCTATCGTTGTAGCCAAAATTAGACAGCCATAATTTTTACTTTCAGAGTTGAAAAAAAACAGCATTAGGTCTGGTTGAAAAAAAAGTGGCATCACTTTTTAAGTATGTAAAATGCTTTCTTTTGACATATGTTTTTGGTTGTGAGCACTAAAAATTAATTTATTTAAATAAAATAAAATATAATAATTATAACATAATGAAGAGCAATGCTAACCACTTTTATCTTATATATTTAAATTAATTAATTAATTTATGTATTTGAATTTATTATTAAATGAAATGCTCATATGATTTTAACGGATGACTTGAATTTTGCAACGTATTTTCACTGTGCATTCACAATAGACTGATTTTTGTATTTGGTTGCACTGGAACTTGAGACGTAAGAATTTTTGCGAGTAAAATCTAACTCTGAATATTTTTAAGAGCATTGTTGTTGCATCACGTGTTTTCTTTCGTAAGATGCGAGTATTTTTTTTTTGCTCCTCTGATAGCAAAACTTAAAGCTATTTTTAACAATATGCCGCAGAAATGGTTATAACACCACATTTATAATCATTTTCTCTATTGTTAACAGTCACAAAACTTGATATTTTTAATTATTGTCCACATTTTTAAACCTTAAACCTTTTATGTATAAAAAATAAAGATTGCACGAAATTGAATTTTTCCACTCTGCAAAAAACACTAAGGTTCTTCGCTGTCTACAATAAATTACACTAAATTTACACTAGAGTTTTATTTGTAATTTTAGCTATCAGCTGTCAATTTTAATATTAATTAATTTTAGCTGTCAATTGTATTTGTTTTCAATGCAAAATATAAACTTTTGATAGGTAAAATTACAAACAAAACACTTGGGTTTATCCAATATTACTCTCAGCAATTTACAGCTGAAATATAGTAGTTGTCACATAGTTAATTAAAATGATATTAAACAGTATATACACTCCTCTGAACTTTCTTATAATTTATGGATTAGCCCTAATATTATTTAAGATGAAATCTACTTCTTAAAAACTAAGAAGAATTGTCAATGCTATTGTACTCATTATGTAGATTATATATGTACATACAGTCTAACTTCCATAACTCGTAGTACCATTTTGCAAAGATAAGGTTCGACTTATGGACATTTTGAATCAAAGAATTGTATGTAACCGGCTCTCTAAATCCTGTTGCACATAATAAAGTTATAGAAGTTCGAGTAGTTGATTTTAGTCCTTTTTATACAGTAATTATTCCTTATAGTATTATATTAATATATTTATATTATAATTTATATTGTATATAAACTGTAACCAAATTCCTCTTTCAATTCATGACTTTATGAATCAACATTTAGAAATAGTTTATGCTAACTTTTTCTAATAAACTAAGAAGAATTATCAATACTATTATACTCATTATATACATTATATATATAATTGGTTTTCGTCCCTTTTATACAGTAATGATTCCTTATTGTATTATATTTATATTGTTGGTCCTGATTTATTTTGTTTATAAACTATATATATTATTATACTCATTATGTACATTATATATATAGTTGGTTTTAATCCCTTTTTATACAGTACTAATTCCTTATTGTATTATATTTATATTGTTGGTCCTGATTTATATTGTATATAAATCCTCTTTTCATTCATGAACCATCTTAATAAATAGTTTTATGCTAAATATGTACCTGAAACAATTGCGATACTTCACAGACTAAGCATTTCATAGACGATTTATTATTATTTACTATTATTTATAGTACTAATTCCTTATTGTAATATATTTATATTGTTAGTCCTGATTTATATTGTATATAAATCCTCTTTCCATTCATGAACCACCTTAATAAATAGTTTTATGCTAAATATGTACCTGAAACAATTGCGATACTTCACAGACTAAGCATTTCATAGACGATTTATTATTACATTCATGACGTTCGGATAGGAAATAATCACTCAGGAGCGGTGTGTGTATAAGTGCCTGCAAAATATTAAACAATAATTTAAGAATTAACGAATTTAAAAATAAAAAATAATGAATTTTTGAGAAAAACAAATTTGTGAAAATTATAAAAAAAATATATTAAAAAAAAATAGAAAATATTGTATAGCTTTCCCATTTCAGATTTTGCAATAAAGTAAATAATTTCAAATGGTGAATATAGCCTTACAATCATGCAAACCTAACAAATTAAATTTTACCAACGCACACACACACCTGCACTATACAATTCATAAAGCAAGTAGCGCCCAGATTGACCAAACCACGCAAGCCAATAGTTTCGTTAGGACGCACAACACGCCGACGTGGATTCATAATCATTAAATTCGTCTCTTTTAAAGTTGGCATCCATGGTTGAAATCCCAAACTTTTTTGCAAATCAGTTGCTTCTAACTTGCGATTAATTGCAGCTAGATCTCGACATTTAGAATCATATATAAAATCGCGGCATGAATAACAATACAATGTGCCATACGACAATTCCATTGAGATTGGATGTTTCTTGGCACGAGAATGACCGGTAATATGTGAGCCACGACAGCCAAAATAAATGCAATGCAAGCAGGCATATAACTGCATACCGTAACTACCGCACTCGAAGCAACAGCACGAATGCGCCTAAAATTTAGTTTATTTATTCATTTTGTAATGATAACAAATATTTAATATTTAATATTTAATATAAACATTCAAATATTTTTAAAGTATATACAAAATAGTTTTGTAAACTTACTTTTTTTTCTCGCGCCTGAGAGTTAATAGGTGTCGAGAAAAATGCATCCAATATGCGAAAAGTGTCAAGGGTATGTTCTTTTACATAGGCCTGAAAATGTTTGCAACCTGTTTCTGGCATTGTCAAGTCCTGTTTGTTTGATAAATCAGTTTGTAACTTTTCTTTCCCAATTCTGCTGACCTCGTTCCCTTCACCAGTTTCCACTTGCACTTGATGGTCATGCGCTTGACTGTGTTCTTCTAGATTGTTCTTTCCTTTTCGAGAAGGTGATGAATTAGTAGATTTTTTCGTAGAGGCCGGGGTCAAATCCTCAGCGCCTGGTCTATTATTATTATTTTTACCCCCACCTCTCCCACCACCACCTTCGTCACACCGGCCGGCAGTTCCTCCTTTAGATTTTTCGTTTTTTTTAGGTAGCACAATCTTGACTTTTTTGTCACTTTTGCGCTGTTTACGATGAATTTTGTAGCCTTTTACAAATAGGAACTTTTCTAGTAAAAAATTTTCTAAAATTTTAGGTAATCCTAATTTTTATTAATTTTTTCACGTTTTCTTCTTTAATTTAAATTAATGAAAAACACTAATTTTTTTAATTAAAAACTTGCATAAAATTGATTTCTTATTTTTTGTATCTACAGCTGAAAAGACTTTGTTTTCAGCGTTTAGCAGTGCTGCAAAATTTTCATTCTCTTTTATTTATTTTAGCAGCACTTTCTCTTTGATAGCGTTTTTCGTGCGTATATGAAAAATGTTGACGAAAATTACATTAATTGTATAAACAAAAGGGAGCGATATAAAAACAGAGTTGTATGATATGAATGTGAGAAAAAAATGTATGGGAGTTGGCATCACTTTTTTGTTAACAGATGTTAATACAATGTCTCCACTGCAGGTTAAATAATTTTTGTTATTCAAATTTAGATTTAGTCGTTTATATTGGCATGAATTGATTATTGCATGTGAAAGAGCTTTTATGTGTAGAAATAATGTCAATAATGTCATTCTCTTTTATTTAGTTTAGCAGCACTTTCTCTTTGATACCGTATTTCGTGCGTAGATGAAAAATGTTGACGAAAATTACATTAATTGTATAAACAAAACGGAGGGATATAAAAACAGAGTTGTATGATATGAATGTGACATAAGAAAATGTATGGGAGAATGCAGGTAAAATAATTTTTGTTATTCAAATTTAGATTTAATCGTTTATATTGGAATGAATTGATTATTACATGTGAAAGAGCTTTTATATGTAGAAAAGTTGACATTATTGTATAAACAGAGGGAGCGACATAAAATCGGGATTGTATGAAATGAATGTGACATAAAAAAATGTATAGTAGCTGACAGAGAATATCTGGTTTGGTAGCTGACATCCCTTTTTTGGCAACAGATGTCAAAATTTGGTCGCGTACATTGAGGTGAGGGTTTCTTTGTTTACCATTCAATTGTAAGCAGATAATATTTAGTTTTATAGTGCTAACAGAAATTATTTAATTCAAGGTGAAAAATGCAGAAATTGGAAACCATTTAATATATATAGGTTATGTGCTTATGCTAACAGGACCTCTATCCTTGTTTACAAATTATGTTGTATGTAGTTATTTGTAGTGGTCAAAAATAATATAAAATTTAATATTTAAAATATTAATTTCACCGAATAGCACTATAAATTGTGAATTTTTTAAATAGGCATCACTAACATTTATAGATCGTTTCGTATAAAAACAAACATTTAAATTTAGCAAAAGTAAGTAAAAATGATCTACGCAAAATAAAAAAATTTATATATAATATATTAATATCTAATTTTCGATATTTAACAAAATCCGAAAAAGTAGACAAAGACAAAGTGGAATTTCTGTGAACTGATGATAATAACAAAGAACAGCTGATTGTGTAAAAATAACCAGATAACCTACACAAAAGCCTGTTTACGGTGCACAGAGATTATTTTTAATACACATCACATAACCCCATAACCAGTGCCCCGTGAACACCGTAATAATGTTTATGAAAATACCATAAATAAAGCAATAGGTGTATATAGAAAACAATGTATTATATATCTAAAGAAGATAATTATTAAAAAATAACAAATAGCGTTACTTTCTTCTAAGTTTAATTAAATTACAAATCAATTACAAATCAATTTTTTAAATATATATTGCATTTATAATTGATGAAAACAAAAAACTATTATATACTAATACGATCTTCTTTTTACATACGTACTTGACTTTTTGAATTCTCGCCGCTATATATTAGATACAAATAAACTTCACTAAATAATATATCACAGAAGAAAATTAAATATATAATTGTACATCAATCATTTGAATATACTCGTATTTTATTTATCTTTTACATATTCAATAAATAAAAATAAAGATTTTATTAAATACTCACTTTCTCAGCACATGCTATTAGCAGCCTTAATGAGCAAAATTGGATACATGAAACGAGTGGAAACATGGTATAAGATAATTCTTATATTTATAGCATTATATTTAATTATTTTTTTTTTAATAAAAAATGCAAATATAGGTATATTCTTCTAACATGAATGTTCCAATAGAACAACTTCTGCTTGTCTAGGAATAAGTTGAGGTTACTGCAAGTAATTAATTTTAAATAAATTTGTGGTTGATAAATACATGTAAATGCAAAAATATCTGCAGATAATTTTATAAAAAAAAGTTTTTTATATAAATCTATGTAAAATGAATGACACAAAAAAGTTATTGGTGAGCATTTTATATTGCATTTGAATTTATATAAAACTATAAATATTTTAAGGATGCTTATGGAAGCCTTAAATCGATTATAATAATTTTAAAACATCTGCAAGACTTGCATAAAAACAATGTCTGTCTGTCCAAATATCTTATATGGAGCTTATCAAATAAAATTTTGCGCAGAAAATGTTTGTGTTCTCATGCAAATTACTTAAGAATATGAAAAATGATTTTATTTCTCATTGTATTTAAAAATATAATTTTATTTATTTAAATAAATATTATTATATATATAATTATAGCAAATAAATTTCAAAAATAAATAAAAAATGTGAAAGAAATTTTTTTGATTGGGAAACTCTACAAATTTCCCTAAATTATCAACGGTTGTCAGGGATATTTTACGGAATAGCTAACGCCGCCTGATGTTTGTTTAAATCGGTTTGAACATTGATATGGGAATGTCAGTTGGCGCGCTCTGATATTTAGTAATTACATTATTATTTTAAGACTGATTTTTAAAGAGACTTAAGCGACTGAATTATAAAACTATGGACTTCGAACATATAACGCCACAAAAATGTGAGATGAATTTGACTAATATATATGAGCGAGGTGTGAAAACTAGCAGCCCAGTAAACAACGAAACAACACCAAAAACTAAAATAACTTCTAACAAAAATACGAAACATCCACGTACACCAAAACAAAATGTTTTTGATTCATCAGGTCATAAGCATATAATAAATACGCCACCAGCAAAACGTTTCCATCGTGTGAAAAATCCATTTGAAGCAACATGGGAACGGTTGCATTTGCCAATGATTGAGAGGTATTTAACTTTATAATTAATATTTTATTATTTATAACTATATTTGTCATATGTAATTTAGTCCTTCGCTTTTCCAACGTTCTACAACACCACAACTTTCATCAACACAATTTGAATGGTCGATTGAGCAAGTGTCAAGCCTTAAGCCAGCACATTTAGAACCACATGAAACGCAATTTTATGATTCACCAAATCCGGAATATGAAGCTAAAGCACAGTCTGCTATTAGTTCCTTTTTCAAGGATCAACAAGTTGTGCCAAGCCCGGTAGATTGTCCTTTACGCAACCAACGAATTGCTCTCTCAGAACTGCATAATATAACGCCTATAACAAAACCTAAACGCATACGTGAATGTAGTACACAAACTGAACTATCACTGCCAGTTCATTTACCTCCAGAATTGGAGGAAGCTTTGCTTCCTTACTTTCAACCAGCCCTAGCTAATAGTAGTAGTTATGCTGAAGAATCAATGAATAGCATTTATAAATCCTGCTTCAGTAAAATTGATTTTAAAGATACATCTATGCGACGTAAACTTTTTGATATGCATAATGTAATTGTTTTAGACAACGAAAACAACGATACAGATGAAAACAGCGATTCAATGACTAAAGAAGCAAACAGTTCAAGAGGCCATAACTATAATAACCGTAAACAACTTACTACAATAGCAGGCAAACTGGATGATGATGATACTTTGGATCATAGTTTTATTAACCGCACGTCTATGTCTCCAATTTCACATGTTGATGGATTTTCTTCGCCGCGTTCAAATGCCGCTATGCACAGATCAAGACTACAAATGTTTCAAGAGGATTTACAACTTTCACCAATAGCTGCAAGCATTCCAAGTAATAAAGAAAATAAATCTTTCCAGGATAATCAAAGAAAAGTTGTATCAATGGAAAGTTATCGCCATAAGGAATTTGATAACAGCTTAAAAAATTTTGATGAGGCAAATATTAGTATAATCAATAAAAATAAATTTACTCCTGATCGTAGCTCTTCTCCCATATTGTGTTTAGAGGAACGAGAACTTTGTACAGATAGCTTTACTGCCAAAGTTGGCCAACTCAAAGTTGATTGTTCAAAAAAAAGCAAAACGCAATCAAAATCCTTAAGTTCAGAGACTGATTTATTCACACACAATGAAACTGTTGAAATGCTAGAAGCTGAAGAGGATGATATGCAGGTCTCACAACTCTCCTTATTGAGTCAATGTAGTTCGTCCAATTCGGATACACCACGTGCGAAAAGACGTTCTGCCAGTCGAAAAAATCTATCACACTCATTCACAGCTAAATGGTTAGAAGAACTAGAAGAAGGCGAGCAAAAACTAGTTGGAAAAATTTTAATAAATGAACCTAACGATGAGTTAAAGAAAATGTCGTGCACTACGAACAACACTGATCTAAATCCAATTAAGGATAGTCTTACTAAGGACGACCAAGCTAATTTTTACCGAACGGATAGTGGCTTTAATGAAATGACATCTGCTTCATCCTCAACCATTTTGACAACTGAATGTGAACTAAACGCTGACGATGCTATAAATCTTTCGAATAATTGCAAAAAACCAACCCACCAAGATATTGTGATCTGCTCAACACCCTCTAAGAGCAATTTATGATATATTACTGTGACATGTGTATCCTTAAGTAAGTTTCAAATATTTTGTTTATTTAAAATTTTTTTTTCTAATATATTTAAACATTTTTCTCAGGTTTTCAGTTACTACCTAATCATAAGAATTCGTCGATAATTATTAGTAAGATTTATGAGCAATATATTTTTTAACATTCGATTATCTTATATAGAATATTTTATTTATTTTAAATTTTTTTATGCATATATTCCAATCTACCAATTGTTTTATTTTGTATTTTAAATGTTTTGTTCAATTTATTTTGCTTTTAGTTAAATTGTTTCTATAATTTTATTTGTAATATTTTTGTTTTTGTAATCAATGCTTAATAAACTTTTCATACATTATTTTTTGATTTTTATTAAGCATATTTTTTTAAATAATTTTATATTAATCATAATAGAATTTTTTCAATATATTTATATTGATGAAACATATATATTTTCTATGTTAATATGAAAATAGATTTTTAAATTGTATATCGTTTTATAATAATTATTTTTCTTAAATCACAGTTAAGAACTATTAAATAAACCCTTCATAGGTTTTATAGCTAATTTATTATTCCATGTGCCAATGTCTATAATTCCATATAATAACTTAAGACACATCTGCCAAAATAAATATATATGGAAACAATTTACATTTAAAAGTAATTAAAAAAAACATATTATATATATTTCCCCCGCCAGTAACGAGAATATTACATATAAGTTTATATATAAGTATGTACTTAATTATAATTATTGATGATAGAATATTTATAGAATATATTTGCAATATTTTTGCTAACACTGGAAACATCTTAGCATATATAGTTTCTGTATTTACCACTTAAAATTCTAGTATATAGTTTTAATGTTATAAACTAAATATGATGTTGTTGTTGTAGTAGTAGCCCAGTTGGGATGGGCGAGCGAAACTTTGCTCAATGACTGCTAGAGTCTTAAATGAAATATAAACTATTTCGTTTAGGTTTATATATATATTATATACTATATATCTACTATGTACAAAATTAAACTCTTACGCTATTAAACATACAGGTGTTGTGATTAAAAATAAAGTACTAAAATTTAATGGTTTCCTAATCCTCTATAGAAGAATTAGAACCATGCTTAGAATCATCTGCTTGGTATACGATGATGAACTATTATCGAACTGAAGTTATACCAAACATAATAAACAAATGAACCGATTATAACCAGATGACTATATATCCAACTTTACATTTATTTACTATTTATTCTAACTCAATCTGTTTTACTTTGTAACGGTGCTACTACTTCAACAACAATTAATTAATAAATATTTATTATAACACCACTGAGCTAAGCTATAATAGTTCTTAATAACTTACACACGATTAGATTATAGTATAAAAAAGAATATATATAGTTTAATTAATTTTTAGAATAATGAATTTTATGTATTAATTATATTTGAGAATATGAACATTCGTTCCTTTTTAAATATTTTTGGTATTAATTAGTAAGTTATTTATGTAGTTATATAGCTTATATAGTTATTTATTCATGGACTGTCTAATATTGTTATAATGGAATGACATAACGATAATACTATCGCATTATTGCCTGTACATTTTAACTGTTCCACTACAAATCCAGTTAACCTGTCATTTCATCGAGTTCATAACAATTGTTGGATACGGTTCTGAAACTGGATGAAGGTAAGTGTTAAATAAACTGTAATTAATTTTTATATTAAATTTATATATTGTATTTTTTCTTTACATATCTATTCGGTAGTTATCACAACGGACTATTATTTGTAGGTCAGTTTTGGTGTGATTGACCGCCTCCTTAATCTATTTGGTATTTGATTCAGTGAACAGAGACAGTTTGATTGAGATCGCTAAAAATTTCACTCGATAATTAGTAAAATACAAAAAAAAGAAAACATTTAATTGCTTACACAATAGTAAAAAAATATGTTGAAATCTATGTGATGGATGAGTAGCTAATGGAGAACCTTTTTCTCAAGGCATCAATTGGATATTTGCAAGTGTACTTGGTGACTGATATGATAAATAGCATTATCATAGCATTATTATGGAAGAAAATATTGTTCAACAAAAAACACCAGCACGTACTTTCGTACTGTAACCCGTTGGGACCTGCTAGTAAAATCCCTTTGGGAGGTGTTGAACGGCACTGGGTCATTGCTGGCGACGAGTGACTTCAGGATGTAGACCCAGCCATTTTCGAAACATTTTCTTTCGTTGTTACAAATTGCATTCCATTCATAGATCCCATATATATATATACTCCATTAACTTGATCAGGAGCTGTAATCAAATGCTATACGTAACGCTGCAAAAGACTTTCATGATAATGCTGTTTATGATATATCCATTATCGGAACTTCAGGTATATTTTTTTTATTTTAATTTAAATTCACTCTTCTTCCTTCTTCCACTTGAAAAAGATATACCCAAAATCCATATTAATTAAAAAATAAAACTTATATCTCTTGAAATTCTGTTCTTAAGATACTATTTTTAAAATTAAAAGTCTGTAAAATCTCATTAATTTAAAATTAAAAATAAATCCAATATATATATATATATATATATATAATATATATATATATATATATATATATATGTATGTATCTATGTAAGATTTATTTTTATATTTATTTATATGTTTTTTGAAATAATTATAATAGAATTAAGTCAATTAAAAATATGCCATATAATTTGTGATGTATAAATTAGGGAATTAAAGAGTGAAATATATAAGTAGTTTATGTATATATAGTTTATAATATAATATGTGTATGTTAATTACTGCCCTTCTTAATAATTTCATAATACATATTAAATGTAAAGATCTGCCTTAATATATATGTTATATCTATTTAAGTTTATGCTTTAGTTAGGTTCATAAGTTCTTTCAAAATAAATGTTCTAAATTTTAAATCTTGCCCCTGAATATATCACTATATATATGTAATATTTTCTATTAAAATAAATAATATAATTAATGTATTTTAGATAAATATTATTGTAAAATTGATTTTTTTATTAATATAATAAATCCGATAAAAAAATACATAAAGGATAGAGCCCTGAAATTAATTGCGAAAACTGACAGACTTACCAACACCGTGTTATCGAATCTCAGAATGGTTACAGGGTCCTCAGAGAGGTATGCAGATCTGAGGTCAATTATTCCTTAATCTGATGAAGTGATAAACAATAATTCAGTCAAGGCGTAAAGAGGGGTTTCGAAGATAGCCCGAGTTAATAGAGAGTAAAAGTGCTCAAGTTCACTGGCTCAAATAGCTGCAACATAAATTAGAAAAACAAGGACATATAACAATAAGTATTGTTTATTTTAATACCTTATTATTATCATTCGAAGATTCATGAGGACCTTTGCGAGATTGAGTTTCTATAGAAAATTTTTAGCATTGGAATATTTAAAACGAATTCAAGAGAGTCATAAACGATGATGTGTTCTCTACATATGCTATTTGACAATCATTTATTATTTCCACAGAGTTAATGTTACGTCGAAATCCGGAAAATAAGAGCAAACTAAATCTTTTACTGCGATGACGGTAGAATTTGCACCGACTTGTTGTTGTTGTTGTAGCCCGAGGTGATCTTTTAGCTAGAAATATGGAAAGAATACCAAAACATTCTTTGCAAATTGACGTATTTATGCATGACCTGTAACTGTTTACCACGTGGTTATATCCTCACCTCAATTGGGCTTAGTCAGTTGTAGCTTACTGTAGGAAGGCTTTATTCTTACCAGGACAAATCAAGCGGGGGCGTGTTAAGAATATTATAGTTATACAACTGTAGTCTTGAATAGAATATTGCATTCATGTGAAGAGTAATGTGAACACTTTTGTATATGACCTTAATAAGATTGGAATTATTATAATATATTCGTACTATCAAACAAAAAAAGGGATCGGATGATGATTCGTTAAGGGAGTGCTCCACTGGTCATGTTACCATTTGGATTGCTTAGACAATAGTTGATTGTGCTTTCATTTCGGCTACTTGCTGTAAAATTTCACAAGAAACTGTCAAATTTGACATTGTTTTCGACGCAAATTAAGAACAGGATTAAAATTTGGTCTTGACAATAAGTAGAATTACAAAGTAGATCGATAAAAATTGAGTTGAATGAATAATGTCAGCGGAAGCCTGGGAAAGTATCTTTGGGCGAGGGAGATAATAAAAATCATCCAAACGCTCGATGTGAGAAGACTAGTAGATAGCGGATTCGGGAAAGCGGCTGCCATCTTGGGTTTGCGCTTGTAGTTAATGCAGTCATAGAGCACTCTCCTTTCAAATGATGGAAACCGTTCCATAAAGGTGGATAAGATTCCGGATTAAATGGGAAATGAGTAAGCAAATAGTGGTAACTCCAATCTCAATCTCCAATCGCTAAAATTCTTAAATAAGCGATTCGTTTATTTTAGGAGAATAAGTGATCATGCGATTCTGCTAACAGAATCTCTTCACTAAATTTATCCGGCGATGTGGATAATACTGAAAAGCATTGAAATGTCAAAATAACAAAAATTGTAAACAAATATCAGTTGGAATTATAATTTAAATTTGAAATTTAGAAGTAGATACTGTGTCAAAAAAGTATTTAGCCATTGTGAAATTTAAATTAAAATTACATTGTTTTGTTGATTAGGTAAATAATGGACTATTTGATAAGAAAAGACCCTGAAAAGACCTATTTGCCATATTTCTGCGAGTTTTATTGAAATATTTTGTCTTTTTTTTCTCAGGGTAAGTTAATATTCAATAATTCCAAAAAAAGTGAATACACTGTATTTATAGGATGTTATCAGCATTCTGTGGGCCAAAGCTCTTTATTTAATGTTTCTCAGGCTGTTGTAAGAAGATGCGTTGATGATGTTGAGTACCCTGAAAACACGGACGAAGAAATAAATTAAGATAATGACTTTAAAACACAAGACTCCATACCTAAAGTGTTTATAGCAAAAGAAGAAATAATCAAGAATTATTTTTAATATTAATTAATTTTTAATTTTAATTTGATGAATTATTAAAATATGTATTTATTTATATGTTTATTATTTTAGTATTATTTTATTAATAAACAACAAGTGCAAATTTCCACGTCACCCTTGAAGTATTGAGGTAATTTTTGGAATATTAATAATTTTTTTACATTTTATCTTAAAATGCAAGTTTATTTCTTTCACAATAACTAAATTAGAAAGTAAATATGAACATGATACTAAATAAGTACAAAATAATTAGTCGATTTGTTTAAAAAATAATATTTTCACTTTTAGCGACAATACCTAACAGTCAAAAACAATCAAATTAGAGAAATTTTAGTCGTTTTTAACGATATTTGGCTATTGTCAATTTAGCAGAATACGAATTGTGGTGATTTAGCGATTTATCCAGAGCAATCAGCTGTTTTTCAAAGTTCAGGAAATTTGCGAATAGAAATTAAGCGTTATGGGTTAGCAAAATCACAAAGGTCGCTAAAATGCATTTAAAGAATTTTAGCGATGTGGTTTTAGCGATAGCAATTATTGGAATCGATCTGCTGATCTATATATTGCAATTTTTAAATTTACCGCACAATTGATCATTTCAAAGAAAATTCCCTTTTCTCCTTTTAAAAAATTACAAAATGCAACACTGTTTTGTGTGATCATTTTGATTGAAAATTGAGAGCAGTAACAACAAATCGTTTCTTTCATTTGTTTCGTTATTCTCTCTACATTTGTATTGCACGTCGGTTGTTTGTCGGATTATCATTTGTTAATTGCGGTTTTGTGTTTTTTTTGATGGCTTTAAAAATATTGTTTATAACTACAATTGCAAAATAAAAAATGAAATTAGTATATTAAAATGTTACGAAAAATGTGTGAAAAATTATCAATTAAATTTGTAAGCAAAATGTATTAATTGTGCGTTTAAAAATAGCTAAAGCAAAAAAAAAAATATTAAAGAAAGTTGAAGCAAGTGTGAAAAAAGAAGTGAAGAGAGAAATGCTAATGCAGCCGCAAAGTGTTAAATTTAACAACACCAACAATAAAAATAATGTATAAAATACAAAAATTGTTGTTTGAAATTATGCTGCCCAAAGGCACTTCTGAATGGTGAGTGCAGTTAGTGGTTAAAAAAGTTCTAGAGATGAAAATAATTCCTAGTAAAAAAATGAATAATGAGCACAACAATTTTCAAAATATAAACTGGGGTCCATTATTTCCATATTGAAGTTATTTTATTATTTAATTGTAGTATCAAGCTACAAAAAAAAATAAACAAAAATATTTTTGTATAATATTTTTATATATATTTAATGAAAATATTTATTTGGGTTTCAAAAAAAAAAAATAAGAAATAATAAAATAAATGCAGACATGTCCAGTTTAGTTCAGTGAAGCGAAACCAAAATCGCCAGTGCGCAGACGCAACAGGCGAAAGTACAATAAAAACAGTTTTATATAAAAACTTATTTAGTTGCTTGATTTAAATTATTTTTTAAAATGTAAATTTCAAAAAATTTATTTTAGTTAATTTCGCTAAAAATATATTTAATTGTTTAATACAAAACTCTCGTCTTTGCTATTAGCATTTCTTGTGCGCTCGAGGGGTCAAGAACATAATTGATCCACTATCCACTGTTTTCTCTTCTTAATTACTTGATCAATCTATGTAAATAACATCAAATTTTGCCCCAAATCTAAGCAGACAATTTTACGAGTTCAGCTTTTATTTTCATTTTTATGTATACATAATTAAATTTAATTATTTTATTCGTCGACAAAGTCTCAGAGAAGAGTCTTAGTCTTCTTACAAAGAATTGAATCTTTAACTTACGAAATATCTGGCTTTGTCTAGAACTGGTACGACGTCTTCAGATGCTGCTTTAGCCATGGCAGCTAACAGTCAGCTTCGTTACAGCCAAGCAGAATGCGTATGCACGTGACCGCGTTTTATTTAACCAAACGTGTGTTTCTTTTTTTTATAAATAAAAAATAAATAAATTGTTCACTTTTATCTGCTTTAATACAAATAAATTGTTTATGAATGATGAGAAATTGATAAAAATTATATGAATCACATTTTAATTTTCACCTTTTCAAGTGTTTTCCCGATTTACATAGTTCTATGTGAGGTCTTTGGTTTTGGAAGAATGCTCCCGAAATCTGAATATATAACCTTTTGATATTTTTTAAATATGATTAATTTAATCATCATTAATACATTATATTATATTATTAATTTATTATTTTAATAATATATTATTATAATTATAATGTATTGATGTAATATATTCTTTTTTTATTTAAAATATGATTAATTTAATCATCATTAATACATTTTATTATATTACTTATTTATTATATTAATATAATATAATTAGCAATATAATATAATCATTAATATAATATAATAATCATAATTATTATATATTGATGTAATATAATTATTATTTAAAATATAATTAATTTAATCATCATTAATATATTTTATTATATTACTTATTTATTATATTAATATAATATAATTATTAATATAATATAATAATCATAATTATTATATTGATGTAATATAATGTTCTATTATTTAAGATATGATTAATTTAATCATCATTAATATATATATCTATATTATTAATTTATTATATTAATAATATAATACAATAATCAATATAATATAATTGTCATAATTAATGTATTGATGTAATATAATTTTTTTTTATTTAAAATATAATTAAATCAATCAACATTTATTTATTATATTATAAGTTTATTATATTAATAATATAATATAATTATCATAATTAATATATTGATGTAATATAATGTTTTATTTTTAAAATATGATTAATTTAATCATTATTAATACATTATATTATATTATTAATTTATTATCTTAATAATATATTATAATAATCATAATGTATTGATGTAATATATTCTTTTTTTTTTTAAAATATGATTAATTTAATCATCATTAATACATTATATTATATTATTAATTTGTTATATTAATAATATAATATAATTATCATAATTAATGTATTGATGTAATACCATTTATTGTATTTAAATTTATTACTGATAATAGTAAATCATCATTAATATAATAATGATTTTTAATGTATTTATCATTAATATATTATAGTATTGTATTATTATGGCTTTTTGCGAGTTCGAGTAAATTGAGGTAAAGTAAATTGAAATTTCCTAGGGGTTTTTTGCACTGTACTTATGTAAATATTTATTTACTGCACTTATTTGTTATTTTTGGTTAAAAATTTGCAAATTTATTAAACATATTATACCATTTTTGCAAGGGTAACACCTAATTTAACTAATTTTTATCTAATTTACTCTACTCGAAATTCTGGTAAATACCAACATTCGCTGCCATACCGACATAATTTGCTATTTCCCTCAATTTACTCAAACTCGCACACGACTTTCATTAGGGGTATTCACACTGTCTTGCAAAATCATTGCAAGGTGCACGAAATGCACAGATTTCGCAAACTTGCAATAGGTAACAACAAAATACATGCACAAAGTTTCTTGCATTTTTGCTATACCTAAACCAATGTACAAAAAAGAGCTGTTTTGACATTTTGCCATTGCTTCTCTCATGTGAATGTGGTATGCTGCAAAAACAGCTGTTTCATGTTGCCAGTCTACAACAGAGATGTTTTCGCACTCTTGCAATTTTAGTATAGCATTCTTGTATTTCATGCACCTTGCAATGACTTTGAAAAACAGAGTCTATATCCCTATTTTATTATAATGTATTAAATTATTACATTATTGATGTTAATAACATTATATTAATGTTGATTTACTATTAAAAATAATAAATTTAAATACAGTAGTGGTCCAATATAACAAATATTAAATTTAACGAATGTCCAATTTAACGAAACGACAAACTACTGTCATTGAACAATTCACAGCCGATGTCATATTCGTTATATAGAACAGTCAGCGATTTTGGGAGTATTTTAAAAAAAAAAACTAATATGAAAGAGAATCTCTAGTTAAAATAATATTTAGAACATCCCACAGAATTGCTGTAGAACACTTAAAATTCTATACAATGGGTTGATTAGAATATTCCAACCTTTTATAATATATAATTTTAATAATAAATATCACTGCAAAATACTGATATTATGCGTCCTTCAAAATGCAATAATGCTAAGCTATAAAAAGCTATAAAAAATTAATAGAGAGCATAAAGATAAACAAGCCTAAAGTGCAGATATCCATACTCCTATACAAAACTTAAAATTTTTAAATAGGTTTACAAGTTACTTCTTAATTTATTAGTTTCGTGTTTCCTCGTCCATCTGTAAAATATCTGCGGTCAGCCAGATAGTCTAGAACTTTGACAACTCCATCTCCATTGCTGTATGTAGAATGACATTATGTAGTTTGCGTAGTGTGATAAGTTAAATGAAATTTAATTAATATTGTTACTATTATTATTATTAGTTTGTAGCCAATTTATAGATAAGTATAAAACATATAAGCATTATTAATGTAATATGCCGTAAAGCATGCAGCATTAGAAACAAACAGAAATTGTTTAAAAGGTCCTTCTTTGTCCTGTGCAATATAACATATTTCAACCCATGACGCTTTTTGTTGGGTTTTAGTTATCTATTATCTTAGTTCTCTCTACATATTCATACTTAGAATTAACATTTATTATGTTATTTGTGACTTCACATAAGACTGTGTTTATCCGTTTTGAAGACCATCACGTTTTTAGGTCACGTTAGGTATTTAAAATATTATTTTATAATTATGATCCTTATATGTTTGTTTAAGTATTTCTTTCGGTGAAATTTAGGTTTGACGAGGTCTGACGAGATTGTTTACAGGCTATAAAACGCTATAAACCTATTTTTGCAAATATTTTATTAATCGTTGGCAATAACGAAATAGTTCTTCAAATATGTAATTTTTTTAAATAATAACATTTTTAAGAATATTAACTATAAATTGGAGTGAAATTTGATGAGGTCGAATGAGGTTGTAAAATCACAGCTGTATAACTATGACTGGAATTAAATATATAAAAAAACCATATTTTCGTTTTTTATTGATCTTTGACAATGACTAAATGTCTCTGCAAATGTGAGATGTTTTCATATAATAGTTTTTAGGAATAGTACCTATAACTGTAGTGAAATTTTAGGAACAGTAACTATAACTGTAATTTATATAATTAGTAAATTTTTAATTATTCATCTTAAACTAACATTAAATATGTCAAGTATTTCGTAGAATATCTATATGTACAACTTCGTATCTCGTCTTTAAAAGTAAAAGTATTATTATTATTAACATATATTGTTTACTCTGCTCTGTTTATATTTAATTAACTCTACCCTTATTCTTCAATAATAAACTCTTATTATAATATATATAAAGCTTCCCACGTATACGAGTATATATGACAGACAATAGTGAACGTATACAAAAAGCCATTGCGATCTGCAATTTTACTAAAGCTGTTACACCTAATTACATAGTTCTTATGTAAATATGTTTTTTTTTCTAAAGCAATCATGAAAATTATTATTATAAAAAAGTAATAAATAATTAAAAAAATAAACTTACATCCGCTGTCATTGTCGCTCATGCATCAGATCTGTTGATCTGTACGTTTTGTTTTTGTTTTGGCCTGAAAACGGAATAAATTAACTGCAAAGCTGGTAAATTCTTTTGTTAAATGCTACAAACCCATAAAAAGCGACTAGAAGCAACTTAACACAAACCTGTTCCAATTCATTTAACCATTATTTCAGGCATTTTCCCGACTGCACCCAAAAAATTTGAAATGTTCAAGAGCAAATCCAAAGCAATTTGCTGAATCGAATCTGGTGTTGGCTGAGCATTCGAACAATGCAGCACTTGCGCATGCGTGCAACACGCTGCAGCTCTGGTGCAGTGTGGTGCACTTTCATTGCAGCGAAATAACAACAACAACTTTGCACAATAGTAAACATAGTAAACTTATTAACTACATCAGCCAACCAACCACACAACAAGATAACAAAGTTGCTAGCAAATCGAGGTTTTCATCTACGAGTTATGCTTGCTTTCCAACC